CAACAATAATAATAATAATATTTACTGTTCGCTCAATTGGTATAGCATCCACAGAACGGTAATCGAATGATAAATAACAACTGTTACACGTTTTTGAAAAAATCTGTGGGATTATAATTAAATTTTAATTGATATTTCAATAATGTTTGCTTTATCGGACAAAATAATTGTTATTTGTGGTGCTTGACTTAGTAAATAAAGATAGTTTACCTTTTAAATATCCAGCTATGGCAAAAAAAATAAAGTATAAAAGACTGGTGTTTATGACGTTAGGATTTTTTTTTCCTCGATATAAAAATTCGCCCACGGTTTTCGCTCAGGAATTCAAAGGAAATCGGCGAGCGATATTTTTCCTCTCTCAGTTGCTTTTATGCAGCAGCAAACTTTTCAAGGGTAAATTTTCCAATATTCCGATCATTTCGTATTTTATCTGTAGCAGTTATTTCATTTTTTTTTTCGATTACACTGTTGATTATTATTGACAGGTGAAAGGTAATTCATTTTTAATTTCCTTCCGGCGATTTGAAATATTTTTTTTAACGAGTAATAAAATAACTAACAAAATTTATTATGTTATTTGTTTTTTATTTTATTATTTTTAACAATATAAAGGACTGAGGTGATGGCCGAGATAACAGAGTGTGAAAATAACAAGAGACAAGTGTTGTCTTAAAACTGTTATGAGAGTAGTACAAAGTATGAGTGTAACGTAAAAAGATAATTTGGAGCGTCAACTTCTTCTAAGGTTTCAACTCAAGACGTAGTTTCTCTTCAAAGAGCTTTTCTTATTATTTTTCTCCCTTTTTTATTGTTTTATTACTTTCCCCGAGTGCTGGTTTACGAGCACGCTTTTCGAAACTCGGTAAATTCAAGAATGTCGCGGCATACGACGTCCAACACTAAATTTATTTTCGATAAACCAAATCAACTATTAAATAATTTATTTTTCACGTTTTATTATTACTTTAAAAACGTCCGAATTTTTAATATTGAATATCGATAACTCCTCGAAGCGATTTTTACAACACGTTTTACCGGATTAATTATTTATAAAGGATTTACACTGCTGTGTCGTACTTTTAAATTATTAATCGCCGTACTTTACTTTGATGATCTTTACTTAGTATTAAAATTATTAACATTGTCTTTAATTAATGAGGGTCTGTAATTACTGAAGGCAGTAATTCTAGCAAGCTTATTAGTTTTGAAAAGCGCGCCATATTTAATCCGTTTTTACGCTCAAAATAGATTGTGGTATAAATTAATAATTGTAATACATAATCCTTTAAAAGCAACTTTGGAGAACATAATTCATGGTTAGTTTTCATGATTTAGGGGTTTAAAAGGTTTTTTTTTAATTTTTTTTTTAAATGGACGGATTTTCAGTTTTTCATTTTTTTATTTCTTTGTTTTGTACACCGGAAGAAATTTTCGTTTAAAATTACCGTGAAAAGTACAGCAATCGAGAGAACTTTCGCAATTTCTGATCTAATTACGATTCTTTAGATAATTATTCACAAATGTGATGTAAAAAAGTAGAAAAGTACCATTCATTTTTAATGTAGTATTAAGGAAAAAAATTAATAGGATGAATAATTATTTTTCACAATTTTAATATTAAAAATTACAGTAAAATCAAATTTTTTTTACTGAAACTATTAAAAAAATTCATTGGATAGCATATCAAGAATCTAATTCTATAAATTCACCATAAATAAATAAACGGTATCAGGATTCTTGATAAAGTATCCCCGAGGCTAAATATCACTGCGACAGAATACATATATCAATATTAATCTTTTTAAGACTAATAATGTCCAATAAATACATACAAAAATCATGATAAAAGCGCACAATACGGTAACAAGCGTATCTGTTGGTCTAATATCGAATAAACACACACAAAAACCATGATAAAAGGGCACAACATGGTCACAAGCTTATGTTTTGGAGTATTTTTTTTACATAAACACACATAAAATCACGTTTAAATAATTAATTTTTTACATATGTGTTATCTTTTGGTTGAATTTTGAATTTCTATCAAATTACCTGTTTTTGGTAATTGTAAATGATTCATGTTGTGCCATCTAATGATTTAATTTTGAACTTTATGTCTTTATTATCTTTTATTTTGGTTATTATTTTGTGATATTACTATTTGTTTTTAGATATGTTTAGATATTTTGTCCGGGGATCAAGAATCATGGAACCAAATAAACGATTTGTTAATTGTTAATAATATTTTTCAACTATTATTAATAAAAATTTATTATTTTACTCAATAAATGATTTATCAACTATCAATAAATATTTATTGAATCATTTGATATTAAAAAATATTTTATTAACAACTGATCAAGCCTATGAAATTTTAACAAGTCCTTCTATCAGTGTCATATTATTAAAACATTTACGATTTTGACACTAATTTTTTATACTTTGATAATATAAAATTACTGCAACAGCAATAAAACTGACAATTAAATAAAAGAATAATCAACAACAAAATCCTCTGCTGGTGACCTTCGGCAGTGAACTTTGACGTTAAGCACCTAATCCGGGTTCCGAACCGTAACTTGCAGATTTACTACCGAGCAATTAAAAGCAAATGAAAGAGTGATTACATAGATTTATTAGATTTCAGGATAGAAGTTAGTATATTTAAATGTTTTACTCCTACAATCGTAATCCGAGGTACTCAAGTGGACAATTAAAGAGACAATAATAGTTCATTCGTTTCGGGTTTCATAAACTACCCTGTACAGTCGGTGTACATCAATGATTAAGTAAAAAAGATATAAAACGGATTTTTTCCACCACAAAATATTGGCATGTCACTCCACTCGACTTTTTTTATTATCTTCAACGTAATTAATTCATCACCGCTCCAGCTTGATGAAATAAAATCAATTTGCGTCATAGAAAAGCTTGTTAAAATATCATATCATATTTTATCTCGTTGACACTGTGTTGCGGTACAAAACCTAATATAGAAAATATTAAATATACACTTGTGTTTATTTATTCTTTAGTTTGTTTCAAAAAAAAAACTTGAAGACTAATTTACTGTTCGAAATAAAATAGCAATACAACAGAAGATTTTTAACAGGGACATAGCACACACTTTGTTAATGAGCCCATGTCCCCTTAATTAAATTTTAATAATTTATTAATAAAAACTTCTAAAAAAATTATAATGAATAATTTTATTATTCCCATACATATTTGTTAAATTTTCTTATTTAATCTATGTTTCATTAGCCAAAAAAACGAATTCTTTTTAATAAATACGCTTATCACTCTTCAGTCTTGTCAAAGATTTAAATTTAAATTTGATTATATTTTTCAATTTTAATAATTTACCTCTAATGGCTCCATCAAGTATATCAAAAATGTAATCTCATAACTCACTTGAAATAAATAAAAACTCATCAGAATTTTTTATATTTATTTTTAAACACTGCCTCTGCAACATTTCAACAGAATCATCGGACACTTTTCACTAAGCGATCGCAGATATTTTTCCAAACAAATTTAATAATAAACAAGATAGTTGTCGCTGCACTCGACAGCTTAATTGTAACGTCGACATTGAAGATCCAAAGTCCGCTCTTTGTACCTTGGTTTCCATCGGATACATCAGAAGTGCGTGGATAGACGGGTGTTAATTTCATGGTTGAACGAATGTAGGACATGAACCGATTGACGTTAATCTAGCCATCACTTTGATAGAATCTAGTTCTATACACCTATATATATTATCCTCCTCAAGTACGATGAACAATGAATTTCGGGTATAATGTAATCTGGCTTCGATCAACTCTGTACCATTAACTTCCCTTTTGGCGCAAAACTTTTTAATGACATCTAACAGTTGGCTACCATTATAATTATTGGAGTTAATTTATAATTTTAATGCCAGAAGTCAATCTAAATTATGAAACTAACGAGGAACGTGGTTAATTAACCACCATCATATATCATGTGTATAAGTATATAAACGCTCCAATATCAAATTTATCACATATTAGATATTATATTACTAATTATTCAAAATATTATAATGGAAGGCAGCATTTACTCCAGAGCATAAACTAAGAAGAGAAAAGCATCAATTATTTTAATTGGTAATACGATATTGCACAGATAGCTGCACATTGTTCGGAAAAGAGGACGAGGAGGAAGGCCTAGATGACCCTGAATTGCACAACACCTTGACATGACCTTGAAGTTGAGGGGATTTTCGGGAAATCGAGTAGCTTTTCCCGGAAGCTTGGCCTTGACATTAGATCCGGCCGGCGGCTTTTGAGTTACTTGGATTTTCGTTTGGCGTGTGCATTATCGAGGACATATTTACGAGATTATATATGTTGTACAGCACTTGGTGATAAAAGAGTACTAGTTCACGCTTCGCTGCTAATAAATTTTTTCAGATCACAAGTACAGCCCACTTTCCTCGTGTTTGCTTTGTCATTTTCGTTCTGGATTATATTTAAGCCCAATTATGAGCGAGCTTTAATTCCCAGCATTATGCTATCGTGCATAAACGGGTGAATTTTTTTTTTTTCGACAAAATTTGCTGAGCTTAGAGATTGTTAGATGAGTTAGAAATTATTTTTTAATGATCTTGGAACAAATATTGACTGAATGTTATTTTTGGATAAAATTTGTAATAAAAATTGAATATTTTGAAAGATCAACAAGTATGAGTATATCCGAAGTATATTGTCACTGAAGTTAGATGTTTGCCGTGAGCAGGGTATTTTGTCAGCCGTCTATAGATCTATTATTAATGTCCAATTAGGTTGTTAGTCTTAGTCAAGTCTAAAGTCTAATAGTCAGATTGCGCGTTAAATTTGACGATAAATTTGGAATTAAAAATGACTCAATGCTATTAAGATAAAAAAATTTATAATTAGTACATAACTTTGTCATTAGATTTTTATTACATCCTGTGGTTAAAATCGTAGTCGGTTTATTTCTTTGGAATTGAAGACAACGATTTTGGTTGCGCAGAAAAAATGATTTTCTTGAAAATTTGTGTGCTTTTACTCTTCATTGATTTTGGATTTGGTTATATTATACGAATAGGTGATTCGGACGAAGAAATTGTTGATGGGTGGCATTTGTATCTTCGTGGAGCGTATTCAAAAAATTTATATGTATGTGAAGGCATATTTATTCATGGACAAATTTTTTTAACTGATCCTTATTGTATTCATAGGTGATTATTATTATTATTATTATTATTATTATTATTATTATTATTATTAATTATTAATATATTCAATTGTGTTTTAAAATTTTAGCATTATAAAGCAATACGCAATAAACGAAGTCTTTATCAGTAACTCTCCAGACAAATCCAGTACACGTATTCCCGTAGATTTGAAAGCTAATTTATATTATAACGAGAATTTAAGTAATGGTTACGACGAATCTAGGAGGCAAACTGTGTTTATAGTAACTAAGGAACAAATTGTTATTAATCATGACCATGAAGAATTCATAGAGCTTCCGAAAAATGTAAAGGATGTTGATTTTTCAAGCTGTTTTCTCCGAGAACATGGCAAATATGTTGCATCTGTCAGTCCTTGTTCGGTTGAAGATCATAACAATGTCATAATTTGTAGTTACAATTCTCACGTAGTAAGTATTCTTGAAAAAGTTTTTCTCAATGTGAAATTTATAGACTAATCCATAAAAAAAATTAGCTAATTATGATTTTTCTTTGTTTAACAGAGTGTGGGAGCTTTAGTAATATGTCGTTTAAAAGATCATCCTATGACACTAGTTCTAGTTGGTATTTCGTCTCAACACAAATTTTTGAAAAATAACGGCACTAAATCATCAATAGAGCTTGAAAACGTCAGTGACTTATATAATATCATATTCAAAGAAGAATTTGGTCTTTTTAGATACTAAAATATTGATTGGATATTATATTTGCTACTGTATTGTACTTAATTAGTTAAAAAACAATAAATACTAGCAAGTTTCAGTCACTATGTGATTGCAAAGGATGACAAATTATTATTAATAATTACTAATAAAAGAACTTTGGCTCATTGATTTTTGATCTTTCAATCACAATATTCATAGCTCAGGTACTTTTTGAATAAACAAAAAAAATTATATTACTACGATCGGCTCAATTAGCAATACTTGAACGGACGAATGTATGGACTTCAAAAACTTACGAACTATTGATTACTCCTTGAAAAAATTGACATAAAAAAATCAAGATCAAAAAATAAACGTCAATACTTTTCTGAAAATACCTAATTTAACTATAAAAATCGCTTTTAAAATAAAAATATGTCCGTCACAAAATCTTGCTTATTCTTTTGAATTGTAAACATGATAAATTGATTTTATCGGTGGAAAAAATATTATACTATGAAAAGACATAAATTCAGGTTACGATTTTTTTGATGGTATAAAATTTCATTGTAGAATCTCATTTTATTTTATAATGAAACTATATCCGTCACAAAATTTTTCTTATTCTAAATTTTCTCCATGTTAAAATTTTCTTTAATTTATTAATAATATATAAAATTGTTAGAGATGAAGAAGTTAACCATCAAAATGATTTTTTGAATTAATTTAGATAAATTGGGTTCATAAAAAACGGTCAGTGGTACAACCCCAGTGATTTCGCGTTGAATCCTTTTTGCACAAATATATATATATATATATATATATATATTGATAGTACTGGAGTGTTGTAACCGCACTTTAACCACAGGGGCTTGTTCAAACGGGAACAAAATATATAGATATACAGATATACAAATATACAGATATATTGTGAAGCAAATAAAGGAAAGAGAGAAGAGAGAAGAGAGACGGGTTGTTGAAGAGGGAATTGGAGAGGTAGAATGAGTGGTTGCAGCTGCAATCGAGGCACGTGGGCGAAACGACGCGCGAACCGCCCCGGGGATTTCGAGGCTGCAGGGGTTGGCCTCTCCCTTCAGCACACTGCTAGTCTCAAAATCCTTGATTATGGATCTAGCCATTGTGTTCTCAACAAACTTGATCTCGTCAGTTCTATCAGATGACTGTGATTACATCATTATTAGCTTTGACACATAACATTCAAGTATTCCAAGTTTTTCTTAAATACATTTATCAATTACAAGCACAAAGATTTGTTGTCAACAAAGTAACATTTGATTAAAAAATTTGATTATAAATAGACACGTAGTGCAATTGATTTTTGTGGTCATATTACTAATGAACTTGAACAAATTCACACGGAAAAAAGAAAACAAAAATAATTACAGTATAAAATGTAAAATCAATCCCGCCATAATCAAAATTAGAAAAATTACAGTTTGAAATAACATTTTTCTAAATTCAATTTTTGAATTTAATTTTCAGAGATTTCAATGTAAATATAACATTCTACAATGTAATTCTTATAAAATCTGTAATAATTACAATCTGAAACTGTAATTTTTACAGTTTTTTCTTTTATCCGTGCATTAGCAAAATCATAAAACCAACTTTAATACAATTTTGAACTCTTTAAAATATCTAGGTCAAAAATCTAATAGTGATAATAGTGATAATAGTGATAATAATATAACACTTTTGTGAAAATTTTCAATTGTGGAATGTCGGAAACGAATCAATTGATTTTGAAGTATTTGATGTAGATTTTTAAGTTATAAAAATAACTGCGTTCAAAAAACCAATCCGATCAAAAAAATCGAAGTTATTTTGAGAAAACACTTTTTTCAAAAATTTTTATTTTGATGGACACTTCAATTTTCAAAAATCAGCATAAAGTCAATAATTTCCAAATTTAAAAAAATTGTTAATTTTAAAAGTGAAAAGTTAAGAACTAGCATTAGTAAATTGTTTCAGTTAGTACAAATGGAATTTTTTGCAAATTTTTTTTTTTTGTAACAAATGATTTGTTAAACGACTTCAAAGATGTTCTGCTTATTCAAAAATTATAAAAAAGCTTATTCAATTTTTATTGCAAGTCAAAATAATATTAAAGAAATGAGCGATAAAAAATTGAAGAGTTATTAATTATTGGCTAACCAAATTTCACATGTACATATGTACTTTCGATAATGTTAGTCACCACTCGAACCATTGAGGACATCCTTAGCAATATCGATTACATAACCGCAAAAGCTCACTAATTTATCAAACCCACTCGAAATTTAAATAGTAAACAGTTATGCAATACTACTGGTAGTTTAAATTCGCCAAGAGCGACCAATTTATTCAAAGTTATCGCCAAATAATAAAAAAACTAAATAAAAATTCTTTAATTCCCCCACTATCGACTATTTTCATCTATATTTTTCTTTGACGCCAGATTAATTGAGTCCACATCCAGTTAACATAAATCAACAAAGTATTTATACTATGTATCTTTATATGTATGTATTCATATATTTTTGATAAATATTTCATAGTCCGTTACTTTGGATGTGTTATGCATTCATAAACTGTGGAAGCCTCTAGTAGCCTCTAGCCTCGAGCTTTGGTGAGATATGAAACATCTCACTGTAGGTTATAAAGTACACACGAACCTCTAGGATCTGGGAGTTTGCATAGTTGCTGGTGAGTGCATGGCTGCACCATTTAGAGTCTAGTAATTTAGTTCACGTTATATACAATCTACAATATACAGTCTCCTCCTCCTACTCCAGAAGCTCTGTGCTGTTAATAATGAAACAAAAAAATATTTTTAAATCCAGCATCCTAACTTGTGAACAGTTTTAAAACTATTCGTAAAGAATTTTCACCGCGATACATTATGATAATGAGCTATCGAATACTTTAGATTCATTGATCCTTAAAATTAAATTCTTCAAATTATTCAGTGCTTTTTATTTTCAGTTCATAAAACTTAATGAAGATCAAAATAAAGTTTTGGTCCTTTCTTTTTCTTTCTATTGGGCGTAAAGTCACTTTAAAAATTAACAAATTTGATTTCAATATGTAATTAAACTTTATAACTTTGAAAAGTTAAAACTCTTCAATAGTAACCACACATTGACATTCTCTGAGACTGTTATCGGCAAAGTTAATCAACTGGGATTAAACTTTTATCAAGGGTAATTAATCAGGGGTGGAAACGAGTGACTTTTGAATGAATTTATACTGGAGAAGCTTTCAGACATAAATTCAACAGCATTATCCGTACAACCATTTAATATTGATATTAATAATCATATAAACTATCTCTTCGGATCAAAACTTTATAACAAACCTAATTATAAATGTAAAAACCCTAAATGGAAGTAGATTCAGAGCAACTTAAAACTTTCAGAATAGTTAAAACAATTTTAAGGGAGCTTTTAGATGCATTTTACAGAAATTCGATTGTCATTGGAATTATAAATTGTTTAAAAAAGAAACATTAAAAGTGTGATAGTTGCATTTTTTGAAAATTCTAAATCGCTGTAATTTTTAAACTATGCATCCTTTTTTGCGCGAAAATTATCAAAAGAATAAATATATTGAATTTCATTAAAATCCTTCAAGAATTGTAGACGCTACTTTCGTGACAAGCTGCGTTGTGTCAAATAAATGTGTACATACTACATAAACTTTTCAAGCTAACTCGAAGAACTGAGTCGGAAAATCGAAAAATTTTTTTAAATTTCCATCATTAAGATAAAAGCAATAGTGAGATTTATATTAAATCTAGGAAACTCTTGGGAATAACGGACCTCTTGGGGTTTACACGTCCGGGAAACAAAGGAAGATGATAATATTTGATCTTGAAATTAGATTGGAATATTGCCGTGACTATGAATATTAATAAAGATATTATTTTTAGTGGGAATGAATGAAAGAGAATAAATTTAAAGCTGATTTGAATATTTTGAATAAGCTGAGAGACGTATTTTAGGTAAATAAAATGAATTTACATAAAACAAACAGCCCAGTAGCTTCAATTTTACGCTGATGTTTATCAATATTCGATAAATCAATACTGATTTGCGATACAAGTACGCAAATAACTATGACAAGTACACATACACTAATTAAATATTAGCGAATGTTGAGTTCCTGACAATATGTATGTATTCACTTGATTAATCCGATGTTTGCTCGAATGTATCATCTATGTGGTCGCATTTGCATCAAATATTTTTTAAGCGACTCAGTGAAGGATATATTAATATGGAAAATATTTGTTATTTTGTTTTGAATTTTTAACTTTTCGCTATAAAAATCAATGATTTTCAAGAAATCTCCATGTTTTAAGGTTCTAAGAAGCTATTCTAACTATTTCTACATGGAGTTCTAGGCTGGGTTAGTGCAATGTTGCACTAAAATTAAAAATTCACTTCTTTTGAGCCAAATTATTAATTTTTTACGCAATTTAGACGACTTATATTCCTGATTTGATAAATGATTCGGATTGCAGAATTTTGACATTGATATTATAGTTTAGATGAGAAGCAATTGACAAAAAACGTCAATATTATTAGCAATCAAATCATAAAACTCTTCACATTTTGTAAAAATTATATCGATTTTATAGATGTCAAGTATTTCATGATATTTCAAGAGCAGAATGAATTCACGGCCTGCACACTGTTTATTTGTTTGGTTATTTTATATATGAGTAATATTAATTAAAATTCCACTGAATGGTCGGGGAATGATGAAAATTCATTTTTTGAATTTTTATTGTGCTTTTACTCCCCGGTATTTACACAGTGGATTTTGAATTATAAAAGCGAGTTTATAGATTGCACAGATTGAATAAATATAACAATTTTTATTGTCTTTTTTGCATATCATTACTAATTTCGCTTCTATCCCGTGAAAAAAATTTTTCGTGTGAATGGATATGATAAATTTTCATAGGATGTTATTCACAACATGGCTTCTGTATAAATTAAATGTAAAAAACTAAATTTTTTTTCGTTATATTTTTATCTAACATTCAAGAAAAATTTTTTAAAAAATCAGAGCCAAGTTTCCTTCTGTTCAATTATAGAATTAAAAAGAAATTATTTTCTTCGTCAAAAAATTAAAAAAACTTCAGAAATGTCCTTCGTTGTAAAAATTTCAAATAAAATAAAATTATTTTGTATTACAATTGACAAAATAGAAAAAAAGTTCAAGTATTGTATTGTATAAAAACTATTTCAAAATTAACTGAAAAATTCCGAGCACGTGTAGATGAAGACAGTATTGCTTTGGACAGACTAAAAACTAATTTCACACATTGGAAAGAAAATAAAGCCATTTCCTAGGATTAAATTTATGTTACATACGTAGCGAGCTTTTAAATTTCTTTGAGCTATCCGGATGGATGATGCACGTGTGGAAGAAAAAACAGAGAAGAAACCTTTTACGATTGAAAGGATTTAAAAACATACACTAGTATAGAATTTTCGGAGGTAAAAATAATAATGTAAATCTTCCTCATACTCAAGGTATAGGTAACTCATCCTGAGACTGAAATATTAAAAAATAAAAATAAAAAATTCAAGGCTGATGTGCATCGAGGTCATGGATAATCACTTGTCTTCTCCAGATACTTTATAGGTCCCTTTTTCGACTTTCATCAATAGACTCCTGCCGTTAGTAAATTTATATTGAGAATAAAATTACGGAAATTGAAGGAACAAAAAATGCAATTTAAATTTATAAAATTTAATTTTCAATTTTAGTTTTTTATCGTACTTTTAATCGTTTCAAATAATATGATGTGATTGCGTCTTGTAAATCTCTATTGCGAACAATAGGTTG